CGTTGCGCTAGAGATGTTGACAATGCGACCAGAGCGGTCGGTAGGCAAGTAGGGGAAAGCGGCCTTGACGAGGAGGGCGGGTGCCTTGCAGTTCAGGTTGAATGTCTCATCGAAAAGATCGAGGTCCAGCTGGTCAATTCCTTGAGCGTTCACCGTGGCAGCGTTGTTGACAATGATGTCGATCTGGAAACGGCCGTTGGCATCGGTGAAGTGAGCCTTGGCGGCGTCAACAAGCTGCTGAGGCGCCTCGGGCTTGCTCAAGTCAGCCCGGACGGGAAGAGCCTTGACGTTGTACTTGGATTCGAAGTCCTTGGCCAAGGCCTCAGCCTTTGTTGTTGAGCCCTCGGTGGCGTAGTTGATGACAACGTTGGCACCTCTGCTGGCAAAGTGCTCAGCAAGAACGGCGCCAAAGCCTTGATAAACTGGTCAGTCCACTGTGATTTCAAGCCAAATATTGAACCCTTGCTATGGAAAAGGACCCCATTTGAAGAGACTCGGAAAGTTTAAAAAACCACATACTTCGCGAAGCACCAGTAACAATGGCAAGCTTGCCCTCGAAAACCCTGAAAGGAGCCATTTTTCTCAGATGTCAGAAGAGCAGAATAAACAATGTGACGTGGAGGCGGGGAGAATGTTATGCCTCTCTCCACGTGATAAATTGTGTGCTTTATATATTGTGTCCTGTTGCTGCCGCTTTTTCCCAATGCTTGCATGTCCACTTCGTGAACTAGCCCGCTGGTCAGTGCCGCCGGGCCGCATGGTGGGTGGGATCCGAAGAGGAGTCTCGACTAGGGGCTGAGCAGGATCATGAATCTTGGCTCTCCACGCAGACACGTCAACTACCAAAGGCCTCTGCCGATCTCAATATGCATAAACCAGTCGTGAAACTCGCAAGTAGCAACAGCTTGGGGAAAAGGCCAGGGCCAGTTCGAAATTCCCTCAATTCCCAAAGTATGTTGGTTTTGACATTGATATTACTTGATCCTGCGTTAACCGAAGACAGCCCTCTGCTCTAACTTCCAACACAACCAACGGAGTGCTCATCGATTTCATAATGACTTATCAATCTTGCATATCTTCACATAGCCGACTAGGTCTCGCATTGATGCTGGTCATTATATGCGTACTGTAGAGGGGCATTTATGGGAACTATGGATATGGCTGAAATTCCTGTCCCCACGAGTATGCATACCGTGTTGAAGAAATCAATCCACTATTATGGGTCAGGCCAAGATTCTTCGCAGCTTGACACCGCCGGAAACTCTTGAAGAACTCCCCGATGCTCGGAAGGGATCTGCCGAATTTGGCATCGATCTACTTTAAGATGGGGGCCATACGTTTCGGGACAGTGGCATGAGTGCAACGATGCATGGATGGTGTATATTTGTTGTCGTTGGAAACCACCGATCTCGCGAAGCATCGACTGTAACACTGGGTAGAATGCCGGCAAATACTATCCACGTTTTTGACTTTGAGCGAGAGTCGATAGCTTCGAACGATAGCAGTGATCACATGTTACAGACCAAATATTTGAAAGCTGGGAAGCTGGGAAAGCACGCCTAGACTTTGCGTACCGAGCAAGCTTCAGGAAAGAGGACGCCAAAAAGACCGAAAGTGACCTCTCCATCATCCTCGATGAAAGAAAATTCCGACAAGTCTACTATACAATTGAATGAATTCAAAAGTAGAGTCCAATAAGCATCTCGGAACCAACTCCGCCTCCGTTGTGTTCCTGCATCTCATGTCAGGGCGAGGCAACTGACAAGCACATCATCGTTCCTGATTAGTGGACAGGAAACACGAGCATTTTGCCGACGGGATCATTTCGGATTTGAACAGTCTGAGCTTCGCAAGGGGGTTGAATTCTCTTACCATGTCCATCCCAGCGCCCCTTTGTGGCAAGGAGGACCACAGTGCCGCAACGGCAGAGATCCCGGGGCTGGGGTCGGTGGATCCTATGCGAACTTTGGTTGCCAGAACAAGTTGGGCCGCTATTAAGTAATTGCCAGATCCGTGCTTGCTTTTTCTATGTTCTTTGCATTCTCTTATAAGTTTTCTGGGTCGTTCGGGTCTTTACTGTTCTTTTCGTTGTTCGATTTGTGGCACTCTTCTTCTCACCTCGAAACGAACCCGTGGAGCACGAAGCCGGTTCTTCAGTGATCACGAACCCGCAAATCCGACAAGATGGGCGCGGCTACTTCGAAGGATATGGCCGCTGCGGTTCTGGTGCCACTGCCATTCAACATCATCACCATGATCCTGCGGTTTTGGATTCGGGCGCAGAGGAAAGCATGGGGACCGGATGATTGGGCCATGGTTGCTACCATTGTACGTTCTAATAATGCGCGCAATACGAAATGCTTTCAAGTCGTTTTCGACTAACATATCGAAGCCGGTTTGGGCAGTGTCACAAATCGGATTAATAGGCATGGCCTGGAGCGGAGTTGGGCAACTGGATAGTACCCTTTCTGCAGAACAAGTTGCCAACTCATACTTCGTAAGTCATGCTCCACCCCAAGGGTGATACCATTCGATGTATGCAGTTGACTAACGGATCTCTAGTGGTTTTATGTGTTCCAGGAGTTCTGGTGTTTTACCTTGGTCACTCTCAAGTGGTCCCTTGGTTTCACTCTGCTGCGCATCGGTAATGGCCAACGTTGGGTCCAAATCGTCATCTACACTTGCCTCGCACTAGTCACAGTCTGCACTGGAGGAACTGGCATGTATTTGTTCTTCCAATGCTCGCCGGTTGAGTATGTTACCAATTCGTTCTAGGGTCGTTCTACATTTGCTGACGGAACTTGCTAGGAAAAACTGGCATCAAAGCATGCCAGGCGAATGTAGACCTCGAGAAATCCAGACTGCCCTGTCCTTCTTGGTTGCCGCAGTATCAATCTCAACTGATTGGATATTCGCCGTCATGCCTTTTGCTCTCATCTGGAGACTGCAGATGGCGAACAAGGTTAAGGCGTCTGTCATCGGTCTTCTGGGCTTGGGTTTCTTGTCAGTTATTGCCAGGTCTTTGAGCGCCTTTCCCACCTTGCTAACAATTCCTAGTGCATCGGTGGCTCCAATTGTTCGACTCAACTACCTCCTCCTACTCAACGATGCCGAAAAGTTCCTGCAAGGCCTCAGTATCATCCTCGCCTGGGCACAGGCAGAAGTTGGCATCGGAATGCTCGTCGCCAACCTTCCCGCATGTCGACCCCTCCTCGAACGCGCCCTCGCCCGCCTCACATCCTTCACTGGCTCGAAAAACAAATCGTCTAAAGACCCAGCCGCCTCAGCCGCCGTCAAGAATAGTTATCTCGAGCTTGGGGAGAGAGACCCCACGAGAAAGAACACCAGCCAAGCGAGTCGATCTGGGGTCGAGACAAGGGTCTACGGCAGAGATCTGGGTGACATCAGCAGCGACAGCTTGCCAGACGATCACAGCCAGAAGAGAATCGTGACAAAGAGTGGTTTCGGGGCAATCAGAGTGCAGAAAGAGTTTGGGATGGAGGTTGAGACGAAGCGCGGGGACAATGTGGTCTAGACAACGCGATCGGCGCAATAATTGTTGATGAATGAACGAGAGGCAACGAGAGGTCACACAGTATCCGTACCCACATGTAGTAATCCACTGTTAATTTAATGGATTCAAAACGTCCGTCGAATTTGAGCGCGTTGCTAGCGAGGTTGAAAAGCCTGTCGATTGGCTCCGGGCTGTGCCCATAACGTCTGGCGCGGATTTCTTCATGGCCAGTGACATCGCCCAAGCCATTCTTCAGTTCAACTGGGATAAGTCTAGGAATAGTTGGCACAATAAAGCACAGGGCCTTGAGAAGCTGAGAGGAGTAGTGTTGACCAAGTCCAGCGAGGTGATTGGTGGCACTGCACAGATTTTGTGTCTGGTGCGCGATGTGATTTCTGGTGGAGATAGATGCATTGAGCGACCCCCCTTATTCTCACACGAAGTGGACCTCTTGACTTCTAGCGCCGGACGCAATCCGCGGGCACCAAATGCGGCCCGTTAGCCTCATCGCTGTATCTAAGATCTCTTGCAATTTTTCGCGAACTTATCCCCGTGCAAACAATTCGACTCTAGACTGTCCGTTGCTGGCCGAAGGTTGTTGGCCGCAATCCCAAAGGCTCGAAGATGTCGCACTCACGATCCTGGCACCACTCATGTGACTGGAGTCTTCTAGGACAAAGTTGTTGAGAACGATCTATGGCAGACTCGCTCTTGCATCTCTTTTGGGATACCGGACACCCTCCGTAGGATGACATACCTTCACTGCTGACCCTCTAGGAGGCTATATCATACTATGCGACAGATATTGCTGATCCTGTTTCGCAAAAGAAGTTACCATGATAGTACCGTGCACAATTTGACCTTTGGGCGGAATGTTTCTGTCTCCCTCTCTTTCTCGTTCAGCTGAAACTCAGGAGAAGTTGTGCGACAGCTTGACCAGTACTTTGTGATATTAATTTAGCAGAGTCTTCTAGTACTTAGACTTTCTCAGTTGCAATCTAAATATCTGAGAGTTCGAAGACAACGTATAGCTTTTGCCATATGCCTATTTGTTCCAAACGTAGGTACTGTGCAAAGACGGCAGGAGGAAACGACATGAAGGCATGCGCGGGCCGGGCACCTGCACGTTGTCACCAGTCTTCAGCTCGTACTAGTTTGGATAGACTTACCGAGAGCGAGGTAATACTTCAGTGAAATCTTACAATAACTGAGCATAAGCTAGTTCCCGGCTCCTTGTTTCTTTGCTACAAAAAAAGTTATCATCACGCATGTGTGCGATGCGTTGTTGCATCCTCAAGAAACCTTGGCTTGCTCAGCAAAACTCCTCCCCCATACCGTCTCGGCCCCGCTCGTCGCGTTTCGGCCTAAGCTACTTCTGCGGCCCCACGGTGGACGGAGCGGAACCGGCTTATATACTTGGTCCGGGCCGCTGTGTAATACTAGATAATTCCTTGCATCAAATCCATGAAATGTCTAATCGCGATCTGTAAATAAACTTTGATTCTTCGCAAGTCGGTGGCATATCTCGGCGGTTTCGCAAGCATCGTTGAACGCGAGAGGGGTTCTTCGTAAATTCGTATAGATCTCGGCGGCCGATTGGGCCGAGTCCGTTGGAAGCTGTGCTGTATGTACCCCGAACTCGATGGCGCATAATGTAAGAGCAAAAGTTCCCAAGCGGTGTTATTCTCCGAAGCTCTTTTGCTCGGTTTACGAGCTTCAACTGCTCTACTTGACGTAGTGAAGTGCTTCATCTACACCATCTGCTAAGGTATGGAGGTAAGCCAAGCGTCCCAACGTTTGCAAGTATTTAAGTCTCGCCAGCGACGGTGATGAGGGGTCATTTTGGAGACATTCACAACAGCACACAATTTAAAACCATCACCTGAAACGCCACTAAGATGACCATCGAGGAGCAAAACACCGTCGCGGCTGCGGATGCCATCGAAAGCATCGCTCGAGCGAATCTTCTCCCAACAAACGAGAAATTGGACAACGCGATCGCGAACTCTCAGAAGCACAACTTGCCAGAGATCACTGTTGCCCCGCTCCAAGGCCAATTTCTCGCCATTCAGTGTAAGCTCATAGGCGCCAAGGAAGTTCTCGAGATTGGTACCCTGGGCGGGTATTCAACCATCTGGCTCGCCGAAGCGGGAGCAAAAGTCACTAGCATTGAGATCAACCCAAAGCATCGCGATGTAGCCCTTGATAATGTCTCGGGGCTGGACGTCGAGATTATACTCGGCTCCGCTCTGGATGTCCTACCCAAGCTGGACGCAGAGGGCCGCAAGTTTGACATGGTGTTTTGCGATGCATCATGGGGCGAGCAGGAGAAGTACTTTGACTGGGCGGTGAAACTGACCAGACCGAAGGGATGCATCTACGTGGATAATGTTGTGTGGAACATCTTGGGTCAAGATAAGGCAAAGGAGGGGAAAGAGTCGTTGTTGACCCATGTCGGGAAGGATAAAAGGGTCACGGCGACGGTCGTTCCCATGATATCAACCGCGCATACGGTCCATGAAGGCCACCCTGTTTTGGACGGCTTTTTGTTAGCAGTAGTCAACTAGGAACACCCGGTACAAGCTGGGAATGAGGAGAACGCAACGAGTCAGCGAATGGCCTTGTACATGACTGGTTGAGTGTTGCTCTTGTGTATGTTGGGTGATATCTTATTAAGTCGCATTCGACAGCTAAATCCTGTGGGGTGATTGAAGGGTTAAATTGTTGATAAACAACTATGTGGTGTATAGCTGGAGCGTTATACGCTCTCTGCGTAGCCCGCCTCCTTGGCAGGCACTTCCTTTGCCTTCTTCTTCTCAAACAACTTCTGGCCAATTTTGTCGGTCATTGCGTCCGTCTTGTCTCCCAAAAATGTCTTGATGCAGCCGTAAACACCAGAAACGAACCAAAAGATTGCATTCACCAAGTCGATCCAGACTGCAACCTTCATCAAGCTCGTCTTGCTGCCCTTGTATGAGTTGTCGCTCTCCCTGTGCAGGAAAATTGCTGCAAAAATGCCAAACACCACGATCCAAGAAACGAAAAGGACAAAGTCCCAAGCGAAAGCACGGTAGGTCTTGAAGATCTTGATTCTGCTGCCGACGTAGGGAATAGCGCCGAGCGGCGTGGCAGCGACAAAGAGAACAGCCGTAATAGCTGAAGCTCCTGCCACGGCAATGGCAAAGATCCACTCTGGCGAGAAGCCGTCGTTTGCCTTGCGGTCAGCGTCGACACGGTTGCCGTAGAAGCCGCAGGCGATGAGAGCGAAGAGAAATTGGAGACCGCGGCAGACTAGGCGGGGTACGACCTCGAATGTCTTGAGCCATGTTTTCCCCATGGTCTTGCCCGTTGCAGCGCCCTCGTTGAAGACACCGCGTCCGGCTTGGCGACCCATTTCTGCCTTGTCCGCGGAACGGAATTCGGAGGCGGCGCCGGCGAGGCCCTGCACGTTGCGGCCGAGCTCAACGGCGCTTTGGCCGGCCTTGATAGCGTTTCCAAACTTGCCCATTGTCGTTACGAGGCGAAAGAACGTATATATCGAGAATAGTCTGGAAGTATGCGATCACGAAAGCTTTCGAAACTAGAGAGATAGCAGGAAAGTTGAAAGGTGGGCACGAGAGGCCTATCGAACGATGCTGTAACGAGGAAATAATGCAAAAAATACGAGACCGACCGGCAGTGCAAAGTGCTGAGAAAACTCCGAGGAAACACAGGCGCCAAGTGATGGACAGAGGAATGAAAAGTCGTAGTGAGAGTGATTCAGGACAGCATTGAGAACACCAAGAAAACCATCTTTATAAGATGAAAATGGACAAAGACCATTGCTCCTGAGCGGGAACAATATCCAATGAGTCCAACCTCACGATGTTGTTCGACGCAAATAGTAACACCAGTCTTTTGCGCTTTGGCGCTATTACTGTCGCAACGCTGAACAGTCACATCCAATCATTCATTCTCCAAACCCTGGCGCATCTGGCAGGCCATCCAACACTGGCGATGACAGGGCTTGGCTGTGTGAGTCGCAGCGAGTCAGCCCCAACCGTCTTTGCTTTGTTACCCGAGACAGGGCGCTTAGCGAAACGCGTCGCTTTGTAGGCGCCAATGGGGGTAGGTATCCTTTGACTGAATGAACAGTTGGACCCGTGGGACACGTGCTCGGTCTTGGGAGATGGCGACTCATTTGGAAGAGGACAAAAAAGTCAAGAAACCTGTTAGCCGCGACGTGAATCTGCAAGCCCTCGAGTCACTATATCATTGGGGCGGTCGCAGGCTTCAGCGAGGCCGATGAGGGCTCCTGCAGTTGGAAGTATCTAAGGTAGGTAAGCAGGAGCAGCGCGCTCACTAACAGGCGGCGTCAACGCTCAGGCCAGGTCAAACGTAAGGACGCTGACACGGGACGCGCCGTGAACCCCAATGAATGCATATCAGTCTGTCATGCTCTGGTAGCTTCAATCAAGATATGAGACTTTCGATTGAGGAAACTTGACAGCATCTGGCAAGTATCAAGACTTTTAGAGACACAGGTGGGCGGAGAGCATAAAGGATCGTCCGATCTCAAAGAGTTAACTGAATGTCGCACTGGGAATGCCAAAGGATATCATTGAAGCCCATAGCTGCGCCATCTCAGCATGAATCCTCCGCTAATGAGGCACAGTGGGTCGGGGCGGCTTCAATCTTACACTCTTCAGGTCCACCGTTGTGTCAGGACTTTGTCCATCATTGGGCAACCTTCGTGGTTGGACATGGCAGCTCTCAGCGTGCCAATTGAAGCCCAGAGCATCAGTATTCGAGGCTCACAGTTGTTCTTGTGGTCGTCCGAAGGGCTGCCGCCTGTGTGTCACTCATTGTGGCATCGGCCTCGGCTCTTGTGAAACACAGATCCGAGCGACTGCGAACCTTCAGCAACTGAGCATTACCGACCATGCCGATGATAATCTATCGCTCACGTTGGACATGGCCAGCCTGGATACTTAAAATCTTCTTGGTGAGCAAAATTTATTCCAAGATTCAGCAATCGTCAAATTTGACTGCTTGGCATAACCCTAAAGCCAACAATCGCCGTACTCTTAGTGCCCGCAATTTAGGCTTCATCATTGGTAACAAGATGTCTACCAAAGCGACAAGCCTTTCAGCAGAAGAAATCCTTCGCCATCCTGCATACAAAACGACGCAATGGGATCTCAAACCCAGGCTATCGGGCTTCGCGACAGTCGCCGAATCCCGTCCCGGAGGGCCATTCCCTATGTGGTATGAGGTTCACGGCCGAGGACCAAAGAAAATCGTCTGGATCATGGGCCTCGGTGGTAGCCGGAACCTGTGGAAGCGTCAGAATCGACACTTTGGGCATCTGCGTGGCGAGGAGTACAGCTCCCTTGTCTTTGATAATCGCGGGGTGAGCAAGTCGGCCAAGCCAAATTGCAGGTACAGTACCTTGGACATGGCAAAGGACCTCGTCGAACTGCTGAGGCACATTGGCTGGCTCGATACCGATTCTCAGTACTACCCACGAGACTTGAACATTGCAGGAATCAGCTTAGGCGGCATGATTGCGCAAGAGCTTGCCCTCCTGATACCTCAACGACTGCAATCGCTGATCCTCATCTCTACGGCTCCCCGCCTGATTCGAACCGTTCATACGTTCGAGCATATGAAGCAACGAGTCGTCATGTTTCTTCCCACAGCAGTTGACGTAGAGCTCAAGAATAAGGCCAGTAGGCTATTCACCAGGAGTTATCTCAATGCGCCAGACACCGGATCCCTGGACCCAGAAAAAACATTTCCCACCAACCTTGACCGCTTTGTGGCAGAGGAACTCGCAGAACGTTGCGAAGATACCGACTTTTCTCGGAGGAAAGGCGTCGTGCTACAGGCTATTGCCGCTGGATGGCACCACAAGAGCGACGCAGATCTCGCAAGAATGGGGGACGAAGTAGGCAGAACCCGAATCTTGGTGATGCACGGGACTTTTGACGAAACCATTACATTTCCGCATTTTGGGCTAATCAAGGCTGCCTTGGGCGACGGGCCGGAGTACATTGCTTGGAAAGACTGTGGCCATGTGCCGCTGTGGGAAAGAGAGGAGGAATTTAACGAGACCGTAAGACTGTTCATTGACAAGACAATTCCAGTTTCGGCCAGTCTCTAGATCTTCTAGCTCAAGCTTTTCATATTTCATAGCAATCTCACATGTTCGTTGAAGTTTATTTGCTTCATTAGAGCGTGGATTGCATCGCGGATACGACGGAACTAGTCCCATTCGTCTTTTGAGTGATCCGTTATGGGACCTTTGGATATTGGGAACGGCAGCAGGGGCCGTAACCCCGCGTTCGGGGTAGACTTGAACCGAGTCACCCGTCTCGACCTCACGGTATCACGGATATATGTCTGCACGCTTATCCGTCGATTCCTCAGAAGTATTCAAAGTGATGCCTATCCAGTCAATTTTCACTTTGAGTTCTTGCCAGTAATTGGCATCATAACCTTGTGAGATGTTCGTCCAATTCTTTTTGCTGGCGCCGGCCCTGGCGGCTGCAGCCATTGACAGGTATGAGGATAGAAAGTTACCGGTCTAGGACGAGACGCCATGTTCTCATGTTTGACACTACTAATGAGGTCAACAGAAAAGCTATCATAGAGTCTTTCAATGTAGTGCGAACAGAGGTGCCTAAAGCCATAGACAACACCACTACACCTCTTCAAGTTGGAAATGGAGACTTTGCCTTCAATTTTGACATTACGGGTACGCAATCATTGGTACCTTTCAACACACTTTCCAGCTGGGGATGGCATAAGGATACGTTGCCACAAAACGGGTAAGACCTTGGCTCTTCAGTCAATTGCGCATCCGCGTGTTTCGAATACTCATACCGCGCTGTATTTCACTAGAGAAAAGCTGGACGAATATGTGGGCGTCCCTATAGTTACGCATGGAAGAGAAGTCATCTACGACCTTGAAGATCCGAAGTTGCCAGAAATATCGAAATGGTTGAGTGCCAACCCCAACCGCATCAATCTTGGCCGCATCAGCTTGAGTTACAAGAACGAGACGCTATCATCGATCACGGAACCTCGCCAAGTCCTTGACCTCTGGAACGGTGTTACTACTTCGTCCTTCAAGGTTGATGGTGAGGATGTGAAAGTGGTTACTCAGGGGGATTTTGACACAGACTCCGTGACATTCGACATCGAGTCCATATTGATCTATGAAGGAACCCTTCGAGTCGAATTTGACTTTCCGTTTCCTCCAATCCACAAGGTTGAGAAGACATCAGACTTTGAGGTGTTTATGGGAAGCTACCAGTTCCCGGACAATCACACTACTTCTATCGTTCAGCCCGACACTACTTCTGATGACACAGCTCACATCCATCACACAATGCAAGAAACATCATACTACCAGAACTTGCGCTGGCCTAAGGAATCACCATTAACTTTAAGAAGAATTGGAAAACAGGATTCTAACATGACCAATGCGCATCGCTATGCACTGTTCCCAGCCGCCTCCGGAAAAAATGCCACCAGACCCAATGGATTGTCTTTCACTGCCCAGTATAGTCTCCAGCCTCAAAGACCGTCACTGCCCTCCTCAATTCGCCGGCGAAACAGTCTTGATTGGCAGAAGTACTGGCAAGAAGGTGGGTTTGTAGATCTCACTCAGTCATCAAACCCCAATGCAACGGAGCTACAGCGACGCATCATACTCTCACAATACGCGATGAGAATCAACAGCGCTGCCACTGGCCAGCCACCACAGGAGAGTGGTCTGGTGTATAACGGGTGGTGGGGCAAGTTTCACATGGAGATGGTCGTTTGGCATTGTGCTCATTGGGCGACTTGGGGGAGATCGAAATACTTTGATCGGATATTCCCTGCTGTCTATGAGGATCTCCTGCCTAGCGCTGAGGCAAGAGCCCGTCGCATGGGATGGGAAGGCGCAAGGTATATTTACTCCAGGTCCATCCGATGATGAGATTTTCATCTGCTGATCAGAGTGGACAATCAGATGGCCTAAGATGACGGAGCTTCTTACCAAAGGCATCGCTCCGGGAGAGACCCGGGCGTATCTTCAATGGCAGCAACCACACCCCATTTATCTTGCTGAACTAGCCTATAGGGCCAACCAAAGTAGGGAGACTCTTCAACGATGGGACCGTGTCATCACATCAACTGCCCAGTACATGGCGTCGTTTGCTTGGTTCAACAGCTCGAGCGGCAAATATGATTTGGGACCACCTATACAGGGTGTCACAGAGAATTCGTCCCCTACGGAGATTTCGAACCTGGCTTACGAGCTTGCTTACTGGCAATGGGCTCTCAACGCAGCGTGCGACTGGAAGAAGAGACTTGAACAAAATTGCCCCCCGACGTGGTCTAGAGTGGCAGAGAATATGGCATCCCCTCCTGAGTATGATGGTCTATTCGCACCTTGGGTTGGCGGTGGCGTAAATGCATCTTGGTGGGATAACCCTCAGCTCAACAAAGATCCCAGAAGCGTCATTATGCTACAAGGCATGGTACCCGATACCCCACTGGTAAGTTTGGTGGAAGTTCAGAATAGAATCCCTGTTTGCTTCGTTGGCTGACAATAGACGCGTAAGGTGAGCCCAGAGGTTGGTGTTAGAACTGCAGACAAGGTATGGGATGTGTGGGGTGACGCCCAAATTCGAGGCTGGGGCCGAAATGTATTGGCCATCAACTCGGCACGTATCGGTAATCCAGAGCGAGCGATTTATCACCTAACCAACTTCGGTTACTGGACTTTTGGCGATCAAGGCTTTGCTCACAGGTCTGGTCCAAGTGAGTCATGCAGCATGCTGAACGAGTGTAATTTGTGTACCACGGGATTACACGTGGCGTCAATTCCCAACACGATCGACTAACGAGGTCGCGATAGGTCCATCTCCACCACCTTATTTCCCTGGAAACGGGGGGTTTCTTTTGGCGATCGGGTATATGGCAGCTGGCTGGGCAGGCTCCGAGGGGCACGCACCTGGGTTCCCGAAAGACGGAACATGGGTTGTCAAGCATGAGGGAATGCTCCAGGCTCTCTGAATATGACACGAAACTTAAGGTGACGACATCTAAAGGGGGCTGTTCTGTTGTACTCAGAAGCTCCGGGAAGCTGTCTTGCTTTGATATTTTGGCGTATATACATGCAAACCATGTCATTGCGTTTGCCCGTTACCTCGATTGTCCTCTTTCACAAGTCTGAATTCATCTAATGAACCCAGGTATACAGCTACACGCAAACCGCCATTATATGGAGCCGTAGTTGTTTTGAATCCATTCTGAGGATCGTCGAGATGCTCAATCAGATTCTTGTAACCATCTTGACCAGAAATGATATTGTCAATGACGATCAAGGCGCCGGTTTTGAGATGCGGCTTCACAAGAGCGAGTGTAGGCATCGCAAGCTGCGACCAGACTTGTCAAGTCGTTAGCGGGTTGGCTCATGCCATGAATGGCAAAGGCTTGCAGCCCAGCATGTAGCTTTCAGGAAGGGCAGAAAACATACTGTCAAGTAATAAAAAGTCAACTTCCTCTGGTAGATCAGTCCTCAGTGTCTCTCGCAGGTCGCCCTCTCTAAGTTCGATCCAGGATTCAACCTCTGGCCCTGCCCTGCTCCAGTGCTCTCGAGCTTTCTTGGCTTTGATAGGCTCGTTCTCTGTAGCGATCACTTTGCCATTGGCACCTTGTACCGTTGCATTTTGTCCTACGGCGAGGGCAAGCCAGATAGTGCTGACGCCAAAGGATGTCCCGGCCTCGACGACATGTCTTGCTCCTGTAGCACGCAGGAGGAGGTAAACTAGAGCGCACTTATCCGGCTCCAAGGCCACGAATCTTTCCAAAGCAACTGAAGCAGGTTGACTGTCAGTGCTGACATACGGAGGTTCAGCGAGAGCTTGGGTATGTAGATCCTTGAGAACGGCCAGTGTTGCAGGAGTTGCATTTAGTGAGGCCAAGTGCCTGTCCAGATCCTGAACATCAGCCATAATAAAAAGTATGAGTTGGTGATGATCTTCGGATACTTGAGTTCGGGGATGACGAGAGCAATGCTGCAGCTCAAGGCTCGCGCGAAGGGTTGGTTCTCTTTTTGCACGTGCTTAATTTGTATGATGTTCCCGTAGTTTGCTCTGTTTTCTGCGGAGAAGCTCTCTACTTGATTCCTTAGAAACAGCGCAGATGGGAAATACACCGATCCATTACTAAGAAAGACTGTCAGACGACCAAAGCATGGCGGGATCGTCAGAGCGGAAGCCTTTACCGGAACCGCCCACCAGAGGAATCGGGTGCACATTGATTTGCCGTGGCTCCGCTATCGGACCGTGAATGGACCTCGGCCGCGAACATGTACCATGGTTAACGACATGAACAACTGCCGACTGATCTAATTATCTTACCTTAGCCTACATACCACATAGAATACAAATCATGAAAATTGGGAAATGAATTAATTCCTTCTTCGGCATAGTCAATCTTTGAAATGTGCCAGCCATCCTTCTGCTCCTTCGATATGTTCATGGGGTGGTTGTAGGCGCCGGTTGAGAGACCACTGCCGATCACATTTTTGGTCTGTGGCAAGTATGGTACTAACGAAGCTTAATCAAATGTAAACCACGTTGTTCTGTTGAGCTTAAAATAGGCCGATTCCAATACTCGGGACTCGGGAATTAGGTAAGACAGTGGCCAAGACATTTGCCGCCATGGCTAGAGACATTGGCTCGTGGAGATCACATCATCCAAGGTAACCACGGCCCACAAGTAAGAGTGACAGAACTTCTGGACAGTTGAACTGGAAAATGCCGGAGTCAATTTGTCTTCTAAAAAGTGGACTATTCTCAAGGTAAGGAAGCGCTACCAATAAAATGGCCGACATTGGCTAATCTTCCAGAGCTTAGAGGTCATCAGCGAGGGCAATTCTACCATGGACAAGTTGAGAGAGCGAAGGAGATAGTCCGCCCGGATCTCGATTGAAAGATTTAGAAACACAATCGTAATGCGGAGAACAAGAATCGGTTGTAAAGAGGATGGCAACTGCCCAGAGGTGGTGGCCTAAGACGAGGAATGGGATTGCAGGGATTGTCAAATGCACTTCAATGCAAGTAGTTGAGCGTGGCTTCAAGCCAATTGATTAAAACACCCTAGCCCAAGAACGTGCTAAGACACCTCTCGTGCTAGTACACCGAAATCAGCTACAGCCACGCAAACATTAGATTGACTTCTACTGGACGCCTTGCACAAGGGATGCCTTGCCCTATTTCCCATAGTCCTCTGTTCCATCTTTTTGTGAGACCTAGCTCTGAGCCACAATATGACAGTTGAAACACCTCAAAACGTCAAATGGACTTATTTCATCGCAGCCCTATGCAATGAAATAATGTAGCTAATACGTAAAGTCCTAGAAATGATGAATCTCACAAAAATTGGAAGTTTGACTGGCACATTGCAGTCCTGTCTCACCTCAGAGGAATCTCAAGTCATCGCCAAGAACGAGCAATGTTTCTGTGAGGTCTACAGGGTGAATTTGGCAACCTGTAAGACAGTGTCATTTTTTCGCAGCGAACGGGCCGATATCAGAAGGCAGAGACATTGCATGGCCGGGCAGCTGGGACCATGCAGATACCCGACAAGGCAGAACTCGGCGCCTCAAAAGGAGAAAAGAGACAACTTCTTGGCGTTCATTTGGGATATAAAATCCCCACTGGTATATGGTGACCAACGACTCGAATTCTATTGCAAGTTGTGGTCGCCTCGCCTCTTTTTTGCTCCCTTTATTCCATCATTTATCGTCTTCTTGCATTGCTCGATCGCCTGCTTTCTCAGCCGATCTCTCCGGACGAGCCACTTAACTGATCGATACAAGGTAAGTAAGTAGTCTGCGGCCCTATTGCTCTCGTCTTCCTATGTTTCCAGAATTCTCCACATTGGTTTCACATGTCTCATGTGCGCCATGTTCTAGTAGCTGACACGAAGAGGCAGCAAAATGCTCGCAACTTCGCAATCTCAGCATGCCACCAAAACTTTCTGTGGCGAACACCACATCATCGACTGGAAATTCGAGCTCCGCGACATCAGCCTTCACAATAGCTGTATTGTGGGAGGATTGTGCGCCCTGGCTGAGGAACAATTCTGTCCAAAGACAAGCTTGTTCGCAGCCTATCAAAGAAGCGGGCTGTGGGATGCTTGCGACCCTGAACACCGAGCTTGTCACATAGACGAGCCCTGCATGGTCACTGGCGAGAAATCCTGTGCCAGGATTCTCTACGTGGCTAAATATGAGCACGCCAATGGCACCTGCTCCGCCCGCGGGCCAGATCATGTGTTCTGTCCAACAATATCCGATCTTGACCAACAATATTTATTCCCGGAATGTTCCGCATGCCTCATTTTGACTGAAGCAAGGGGCCTTGTGCTCATACACCGACGGATGCTTGACGAGTGTGTGGAAGATGAAGGGCTGTCAAGCACTGACATTGATTGCATCCGCACAAGTCTCTCTGGGTACATACGAGCTTACAATGTCAGGAGGAAACTGCACCTGGAGGAGCTTCAAAAAGTAGTTCAAATGAAGCATGACTTGGAGATGGATTATGCCTCTGGTAATGGGGAGATTTCGAGGGCTCAGAGCCACGCTACGGGACGGAAGGGGTGGTGGAAGTCAGTTGTCGAAAGAGCCATGAATGCCGTCATTCGCATTCTGTCTTGAACCTAGATCAAGCCTGACTCATCACTATGGAAGACTCTAAAAGGCTTACTTAATCTTTCCTACATGTAATTATGGAAATCTTGGCATCGTAAAAGTTGTCTCCTAGGGCATATCATGCCAAAACACCTAGCTATGTCTACCACAGAGCATCGTCATCTCATGTATGCTGTATCTTCAGGGCATTCGCACATGAGGTTCTAGAGATAGACTTTGATGAACTAGCTGAAAGCATTAGTGGCTACGAAAACTTCAAGAACGATTGACCATTTCAATCTGAGCGACATTAATGTCGTCTTTCAAAGTGTCAACAGTCTTGGGCTGACTGTTTCTTGGGGCTTCGTAGCGCCGAAACTTCCTTGCCGACAGTTGTTCGATAAACTGAGACTATTAGTGAGACGATTGAAGTATGCCAAGTGTTTCGGATGAGAACCCAGTTCTTACCATGACATTGATTTCTTCGAGAGTCCGTCCCTTGAACTCGGGGAGGAAGAAGAAGGCCCACAAAGCTGCAATGACGCAAGATGGAAACCAAATGTAGCCGTATCTCGGGCCCCAATTCAGGGCACTAGGGTTAATGAAGTAAGGCGTAGTAAAGGTTACAAGCCAGGCCAGCAGGTAGCCACATGCCGAAGCAACCCCAAATGTGTAGCTACGAAGTCTTTGTGATGGGGCTTCTCCGGCAACCATCCAGGAGTAAGGTGCCACCATTCCCTGTAGGGCTGTCAGTCATATGAAGCAGAAAGGTAAGCATCCACTATCCAAAACCTACGTTGAAAGCAACCATGAAAATGCAAGACATCGCGACAAGAACCTTCCCCGCATTAATCATATGTGGTTGCTTGTCGTATGTCACAGCCATGATGAGTTGCAAGCAGCCACAAATGACAAGACCGTTGATAAGCATAATTCGGCGTCGGCCATAGCGAACTACGATGAAAGCATTTGCAATAATTGCCAAGAGACCAGCCGTAGACAGAACATTTGTCATAGCGAAGGGGTGTTCGACTTGGGCAACAGAGAAGAAGTATGCTTTATACGCTATATAACTTAGATGAGTTCATGAAATTGACGTGAAATGGATCCGGAACTTACCAATGATGAACATAGATCCCGATGCGGCCTGCAGAGACACGGCGCCGATAGAGATCATGGAGCGTCTTCGGTCTATTCGATCCTTGAACATGTCCCAAAAGGTGATGGTCTTTGTCAACTCGATATGTTCTTGGATGGATGTTTGTATTTCTTCAACTTCATCGTCAATGTTTGCGTCAGTGGGTCTTAGCCACCCAAGAGCTTTGCGACCCTCATCTACACGACCCTCTAGAATCAGCCAGCGCGGTGACTCGGGTATGAATAAAAGACCGATGGCTAAGAGAACCGGTATCACGTAAATTGTCGCCAAAGGGATCAAGTAAGCTGATCTATCAGGGCGCTGGGCAGTTGCCCAGTCAATAATAGTACCGAGGAGAGTGCCCTACGGTAACGTTAGCCAATCCAGGCCTTCTAAGTAGCATAAGTCTCAGCAGTAGGATACCCACAATTGTTACACAGAACTGGAAGATAGTAAGGAATAGCCCGCGGTATTTTGCTGGACTGCTCTCTTGTAAGTAAAGTTGAGAGAAGGTCATGAAACCTCCATTGCCTAGCCCGATGAGCAACCGACCGAAGTAGAGTGGACCGATGTGTGATGTGGTCATCATGAGAATATTGGCTACGATGCACAGCAAGGAAGAGAGCCAAAGGCACATCTTCCTTCCCAATTTGGTTGCGATTACTCCGGCAAGCACCGAGCTAAGAAATGCACCAAGTGTCATCAAAGAAGATATGAGCTGTTGTCGGGTGGTGGAGATATTCCACCCAATAGCCGTGTGTCGGTCTTCATAGCCATAGACCTTGGAGCAACAGGTCAGTTCCAATAACATGTAGTCAAGATAAAGGATGTATTGACGGAAGCCGTCGAATGATGAGAAATTGGAAGAAGCCAACCTCGAGAAAGCCAGGCATCGCCTGTAGACCGCCAATGATTCCAAAGTCTAGTCCGTACTGGAATGGAGACAATGCGATCATTCCGCACGCCATAAAGCACCAAAAGTGAGCCCGAATACCATCAGCAGCCATTTTGGTCATGTTTCGCTTGGCTCAGCTTCAGTAGGAGACTACCGCTGTTCTGAATGTTGCATCTTTTATTCCAGAGTCTGAAAGAGGGGCTACTCAGAGTTTCTATAGGCCTCGTACATACAGGTTCGTCTCTAACTTCTGAGATCGGCAGTCCTGGAAGCGAACTTAGCTCGGATGATTATGAGAAGATGACATGAGGTTGTACGCATGTGGGAGGGCGAACACTAGTTTGAATATGGAGCTGTCAAATTCTTGGTGCAGCGAATGGGACGCAGTACGTGATTCAAAGAGGAAAAGTCTGGTTGAATCGAAACGACTGGGATTGTTCTCAAGAGGCTTGAAGTCTGCGCAATGTCCCAATGATCGGCCGGGAGACTATAACCGTTGCCGCTGCACCTGGCGTATGTGGGGTAGTAAATACCTCGAAGACGTGGGGTACCTGATACTTGAGAATGGCAACCCCACGGCAGATGTGTCAGGATAAACTGTATCCTTCGGCAAATGTCAAGGCCTGTGTTTTCCTTCTTCTGTAAATTCCCATTCCCTCTCGAGGTAGTCATACTGTTTTTCTTGGAAGGCTTTTCGAGCTGACATCACAAAACCGGCTACGCTGATTGGACTGGGAACCACCATGGCAACGCCAAAAACGAAGACAGGAGTCAAAATCATTGTTGTTGGCGCCGGCTTTGGAGGACTGACAACTGCAATTGAGTGCCATCGACAAGGTCACGACATTGAGGTTTATGAATCATTCCCTGAGCTGAAACAATTGGGGGACATCATATCCTTTGGTGCGAATGCTGGCCGCATCTTTCACCGTTGGTCCAATGGAGCCGTCGTCTCCAAGTTGAAACCGCTTTGCATCGATCTACAAGAATACGGCTTCCGGATTCACAAGTGGGACACTGGTGAAGTTGTTCTCACTCAGAAAAGACCGCCTGTAGATCCCGAAGCACCTGTCCTCAATGGCCACAGAGGAGAACTGCACGAGGTCATCTACAATTATGCGAAGGATGAACTAGCGATTCCAATTCATCTTGGCCAACCGGTCACTGACTACTTCGAGGACCAAGATACTGCAGGCATCCACCTGCAAGACGGGAGCAAGGTGAGCAATATCTCCGTTGCATCAGATATTGATGCGGTAGCATCGCGACATCGTACTGATATGTGTACTTCTACAGGTTTCAGCTGACGTCGTCATTGCTGCGGATGGGGTCCGATCCAAAGCGAGGGAACTAGTTCTTGGCCACAAAGATAAGCCACAAAGCAGCGGATATGCGATATGGAGGGCATGGTAAGCTTGGCGTTTTATTCGTCGGGGTTTGATGGTGTCTCTAATTTTGAGTGGTCGTAGGTTCTCCGCCGACGCCTTACTGGCAGACCCTCAAACCAGACAATTCTGTGAGAATGGCGATACCTTCAATGGCTGGATAGGCCCAGACGCCCATTTCCTGTTCTCTACTCTGAAGGGAGGTCGAGACTGCTCTTGGGTACTAACACACAAAGACGAATACGACATCGATGAATCATGGTCCTTTCCCGGTAAGATGGAGGATGTTTGCCGCGCACTCGAGGGCTGGGACCCCATGTGCCGAGTAATCGTCGAGAAAACTCCGTCACTGGTGGATTGGAAGCTCA